TCGTCGCGATCCTCACATTACTGGCACTCTCGATAAGCTAGGCATTCATATAAAGCTGTGAAGCTTCCATCGCGTGATTGTGAGTGTGTGTGAGTATGTGTGTGAGTGTGTGTGAGTGTGTGAGTGTATGTGAGTGTGTGTGAGTGTGTGTGTGTTTGTATACTGCTTGTTTCGGTGTGTTGTAAACAAACGAGTGAGTGAGCCAAGAGGTGTGACATCAAAAATGCTTTTGCTTTCATTCATTAACTCATTAATTCAGATTTTTTTATAATATTGATTGCCAACCAACCAAAAAACCAACCAACCAACCTACTGACTTACCAACCAACTAACCAACCAACCAACTGAATTACCAACCAACATCCCAATATACCAACCAACCGACCAGTTAACCAGCCAACTAACTTACCAACCAACCGACCGACCAGTTAACCAACCAACTCACATACCAACCAACCAACATTATTAATGAGTAAGGCCAATTTGGATTTGGTGGCAAAGAGTTCTTCGGCTTGGTTTGCGTACCTCACCTGATCCTGCACCAACCTATCCGCCAGGGAAGCTGTCTCCTGCAATTATTATTATTATTATTGTTTTAATTATAATTATTATTATTATTTTAATTATAATTATTATTATTACATCTGTTCTTAATATTAGTTTATTGGTATAACGATGGTAAAGATGAGGACGATGACGACGATGATGATTATGACGACGATGATGATGATGATGATGGTATGATGATGATGATGGTATGATGATGATGATGATGATGATGACTACGATAGTGGTGGTGGTGGTGGTGGTTGCGATGGAGACGATAACAATGATGAAGTAAGAATGGTGATGACGACGACGATGACGAAGGTGATGACGGTCACTAACGGCCTCCAAGTTATCAATCCTTTCTCTTAAAAGTCTGTTCTCTGTTCTCAATCTCTGTTAAGAAATGGTAGAGAAATTGTAATGGGTTGTAACGAATGATAAGCAATTTTAAAAACTTCTGTGTGATGCTGTGTAATTAAGTTTGTAAATAAAGAAAATACAAATAAACGAAACATAATGAATGATATAAAATAAATATGAAATGAATGTTCATCAAAAAAAATTAATAAAAATTGAAATAATTATTAAATTGAAATTAATATGAAGCTAATTGAATGATCAACTAATGCATGAGTGAGTGACGGTTTATTGAAAAATGGACAGATTAGACCGAGAAATAATTAAACAAATGCGACAATAAGTGAATGAGTGAAAAAGGAATGAATAATCATTATATGGATGAATGGATGAATGAATGAATGAATGA